CGGAGGCTTAGCTGACTGAGGGCCCAGGTGCCCTATTGTGTGCAGCAATTCTTAAATCCTGTTTTCCTCTCTCTTCAGTGTCTCTCCCCTCTTTGGTCTTTACTCAAATGTCTCTTTCTCCGTGAGAAGAGTAGCATTTTTAGATTTTTCCAAGTCTCAATAGAAGAGAGCTGGTTTTACATATTTGCTTCAGTCTTAAATGTTGCACCATCCCACGTCTGGAAGCCAGAATACATAGGGGTGAGGAGTAAATGGAAGGTTAAAAAGTGAACAGTCAGTCACCCTCCAGAGTCTTGTGATAGTCGTTTCATATGTTGGTCAACAGAACCTAAATGTGCTATTTTCTGGAATGTGTTCTCTAGAATAACTGAGGACAATACATGTTTATATCAGAACTCAGAGAACTGTCTGACCAGACTCTGGAGAGTCCTTCCACCAGGAATGCTCACCTCCTAGACACCTCACACTCTCTCCCTCACCTCCTTCAGATCTGGGCTAAAACATTATGCCCTCGGTGAGTCCTTTCCAACCCACCTGCTTTGTGTTGCTCTGAGCCTATCAACAGTGATGGTATCTGCTAGCAATGCCTGGGGCACTCCCTGGGCCTGTACGACTTGTATTGATCCCCCACAGACACATTCTAACTGGAGCTTACGTTGTGGCTAGACCAGGCCTGTGGTTCTTGTTATGATTGCAAGAAGCACCTCAGCAACAACCATCAGGGAACATCAAAACACAAGGTTCATTACTCACAAGTCCTGGAGGGTATATTGCATGCTGGGGGCCGCACTTGGAGGTAGCCAGTAGAGAGAGATTGAGTTCTGACCTGGGGTTCCTGCCTTTATTGGAGTTGAGGGTGGGGTTTCTCGGATTTCCTGGGTTCACTCTTTAGTGGTGAATTGAAAACATAACAGTGGCAATTAGGGCACCAGGAGGGAAAAGCAGGGTCCGTCAAGCAATTATCTTCCTTTCTGTGGCCTCAGGCTGATGCTGAATTTATCTACATGCCCTGGCTTGTGCTATCAAACCTCCCCAAGAGGCACGCCAGTAATAGGGGAATGTTGGCTGGGATTCAAAGTGGTTGCAAATAAGCCACAACATATGACATACCGATTCGACTACATGAGGAAGAGGTAGGAAAATGTTTCTAGAGTGCCTTTTGGGTACAATAGTCCAGTGAAAAAGCCTCCGTGGTTTTCTAAGGGAAATTTCATAAATAACAATCACCAAATGTGGGGCTATGTTAGCCAGAGTGGTCAGAAATTAAATAAGACAATTTGGTTGCTGATACCTTCTGGGCTCTATCTCCATGGTCTAGTCTCTAAGAAAAGGCAGCACTGAGGGAAGAATGTGGTTCTTTCTGTACAATGCCTGGTGCTTATTCTGTCTTCGGATTCAAAGCTTCAGGCTGGGTGAGATGAGCTTCCAACTGAAGTGAAGCAGTGCAGTGTGGCTGACCCCTGGAAAGGTAGCATGAGAAGCTTCTGTAACATCTCCCAGCTCTGTATTGACAAGGAGCCCACCTGGATCCCAAGAGTGCAGAATCAGGTGAGAGATAGGTGGCTGTGTTAGTGTCCTAGGGCTGCTGGAACCAAGTGCCACAAACCAGGCAGCTCACATCAACAGAAAGGTATTCCCTCACAGTTCTGGAGGCTAGAAGTCCAAGATCAAGATGTTGGTAGGGCCAAGCTCTCTCTGAAGACGCTAGGGGAGGACCCTTCCTTGCCTCCTCCTAGCTTCTGGATATTGCTTATAATCCTTGAGTTTCTTGGCTTGTAGATGCATCACTCCAACCTCCACCTCCACATGGTTTTCTCCCTCTCTGCATCCAAATTTCCTTCTTATAATCACATTGTTAGACCACCTGTTGGGGCCCAAGTCCCCCCGGTAAACAAAGACACTGTTATCAGATAGGATATGCCAGTGGTTTAAAGATCATCTCCCAGGAGCAAAGGGCAAAGGTCAGATCCTTCTTGCAGTAAGGTTAATCCTTTGTTGTACAGCTTTATTCTGTAAACAGACTTTCCACACGGTGGAAAAGATGACCACCAACAGCCCCAAATCAACAGTCTCTAATTAGCGACTGCAGTAGACAAAACTTCTTTCTTTTTGTGTCCAAACTTCAATTCTAGAGAAGTTATATAATTGGCCCTGCTTGGATCACACAGTCACTTTTCGAGCCAACTACTGTTGCCAAACAAATGGAATACCATGATTGACCAGGTTGGGTTTTTGTGTCCATGTCTATGGCTATTGATTGAAGGTCTATAACCAGGAAAAAAGGAGATGGAAATGGTCAGGACTCTGTCAATAAATGCCACTTTACCAACTGTTGTCCCCACTTCCAACTTAGGACCAACCAGAGAAGGCCAAATATGTCCCCCTAACCGATCACATAGGATGCCCACTTCTGGTCTGCCCGCCCCCAGCTTCCCCGCACCGATAACTTCCGGTCAGAGCACAGCCTTTCCTGTCATTGAGTCTCTGCCAAACACAAGTAATGGTAGCCGATTCCTTGGCTATAGCATGTTCTGGGTTAAAAAAGGGACCCTGGAGCAGGGGCTGGCCTTCTTCAGCTCTGGAAATCAGAGCATCAGGCCAAACCTTTACCTCAGGCTTTTGCTTCTGTTGCCTGCCCTACCCCCAGGGATATGCAGTTACTTTCAGCTAGTGACAAACCTCACTTCTCTCTCTTCCTCTGAGGAACATAAAGTCAGAATGTGGGTGTTTGAGAATAACTGGACTACGGGGTGACTGAATCTGCTGTAATTTTTAAGAAAACCTTTTATTCTTTTTTTTTTTAAGTAGTCTCCATGCCCAACGTGGACCTTGAACTCACAACCCTGAGATCAAGAATTGCATGCTCCACCAACTGAGCCAGCCAGGTGCCCCAAGAAAAGCTTGTATTCTTAATCTTCAATAGCAGCAACTTCCTTTTGACACAGCTCTGAAAAAAGCTTCTCTGCCTTGTGCATTCATTTCCTGTACAGTGGTTTTCAAACTTTTTCACTAAGAAATTCGTAATGATGGAAGAGAAAGAGCTAGTCACTCCCTTTCCCTGGGGAAGGGGAGGTGAGGAAATAATAAATATATTAATAATAATAATTGCAGAAACAACAGCAACCCTGTATTATGCATTTACTATGCACCAAGTTAATGCTAAGGACTTTGCCTACATTTTCTCATTTAATCTGCGCAGCAAACATGGTTTCCTGGACTGGTTGCTACAGAAGTTGTGGTTCAGAGTTCTATTTTTGTATAAAGTCTGGCCATTGCCCTTCTGAATTCAGTCTATCAGGAAGTTGTTACTGGTGGAAGAGTCTGTGTTGTGTGGATAGAGGTCTCTGTTCTTGGATTCCCCAAGAAAGATTTATGTGAGGATCCGAGCTGGAATAAAGACAAGCAGAAGGAAAGTAGCAAGCACAGAGCAGTTTATTAAGCACAGTACACTCTCAAGAAGGGAGAATGGGCAGGCCCAGAGTTGACAATTTCACCACAGTTAGGAGTGTCTTTTCTTTCTATGTTTGCAGAAGTAATGGGTCATAGCTAGGGAGATCTCCCACTGAGGATGTTTCCAGTCATCTAAGGGACTCCTACTGGTTAGGAGGGGGAGTTTTGGGCCCTACAATGTTCTTGCCTGAATTGTCATGGCCATCTTCCTCCAGGGAGCGTGGGATGGTGGAGTGGGAGGGGTGAAACCACAATGTAAATATATTACAATGAAGCTATGGGTTACCCTGGGGCAGAGGTTGAAGAGGAGAGTGTTAAAAGCCACAATCAGAAAGGGAGCCAAACCTTGAGAGAGTCTTTGACTCCAGGAAACAAACCGAGCGTTGTGGAAAGGGAGGTGGGTGGGGGAATGGGGTAACTGGGTCATGGGTATTACGGAGGGCACGTGATGTGATGAGTACTGGGTGTTATACGCAACTAATAAATCATTGAACACAACACCAAAAACTAATGATATGCTATATGTTGGCTAATTGAATTTAAATTAAAAAAAAAAAAGCCACAGTCAGGCTTCTAATGTGTCATCTATTTATCAACACCTTTGTCTCCAGCTCTTAACTAACTGCCTGCTTTATCAGAATCAGGCCCTACATTACGAGTATCTTAAATTGGGGAGGCTGTGTGGTGCTATTTGTTGGACAAAGTGAAAATTTATCTTTGACATTGGCTCATCCAACCAATAAAAAGTTTAAAGCAAATTACTAATGGAAATAAAATTATAATTCAAAAGGCTACTTTGCATATTAGAATAATGTATCCTTTGGTTCATTCCGCTAATCTAGTATCATACAGTTGTCTTATGGATAGAAATGTAAACTCCTTCTATTGGAAGGATGCTATGGCAACGGGAAGAGGGGGGCGGATACAGATGATTGGTTAAGTCATCCAGGGGGTCAGAGCCTTAAGGGAACTCTCTGGAGCAGGTTGAAGAAAATGTGTCAACAACAACAAAAAAACTAAGGGCACATGTGGTTTAAGGAATTTAGAGCTGGGCTCCTGGAAGCTCAGAGGAGGGAATCCGCCTAGGGTTTCAGACTCTTCAGAGCACCTCCGGCACAGAACCACACGAATTAGTTTATCTTTCCGTTCTTTACAAAAGGTTAAGGAGAGAGACGATTAGAAGGAAGCGATCTGAATTTAAACGAATAACAAGACTGAGAAACATTTCGAGCAGAGGAAGGGTATCAGTGCCCACTGCATTGCTTTTCAACTGTCAGTTACAAAACCTTGGCACATCACGTATTTCGCCACCAACACCAACACCCCGCCCCCAGCCTCATAAGGAGGAAGTGGAGGTTCCCCCTTTCACCAGGAAGCTCGGGTGAGTGGAGGGTCAGCATTGTCCCTGTGCCGGGAGCCAGCCTGCTGGGGTCGAGCCGGAGCGGAGACGCCCGCAAAGGCGAGAGATGTTGCGCGGCGGCCCCGAGTCGGGGCTTTACGGTAACTGAGCTGCGCGCCAGCCCCGCCCTCGTGCGCAAGCGCGAAGCCGTTGTGCGCGGAGCGGTTGCGAGCCCAGCAGTTCCCCGGACAGGCTCGCCCCGGCGCTGGACCGCGCAGGTTCGGAGGCCGGCCGGGCGGCTCGGCCCAGCCTGAAGCCCCGGCGTCTGCCTCCCGCGGCGTCCTCGGTAAGTCGACGGCGCCGCCGGAGCAGCTGCCGGAGACCGGGAAAGCGCCCTGCCCGGTGGTGGGGGGCGGGGGGCGCCGACGAACTGGCACTGCCCAAGAATGTCAAGGCTGAGGGATTCCAGTGAGATGTGGCGCATCTCTTTTTGGGGGGCGGGGAGGGGGACCTGGACCTCTGCAGCGCGGGGTGACCCCTGAAGTCCGTGTCTGTGGCCCAGTCTGTCCCTACACGGCCTGGACGGGACGATCCCAAGGAGCCTAGATGCTGGGTGTCGCTGGCAAGTGCATGCGCAGTTCACACCAGAGCACCAGCCCCTCGGTCTGCAGCCCTCTGGGCCTGTTGGTTAGGGCCTGTCTTAGCCCACCAGGAATTATCCTGAGGCCAGCGTTTCCTCCCACTGCAGTAGTGGATGAGGAGGTTGGAATTGTGGTTACCCTCAGACCCTCATACCCTTTTTCCTTGGGGCCTGTCTGGCGTTCATGATTCCCAGCTGTCTCCCATCCCTAAACTCTGACAGTCCCAGAATGGCTTCTGAGATCCTACTGAGATCTGGCTTTAGAGGATTTAGTCATTTTGCTTTGAAGCTGGATGGCCCCCAGCAGCCTGATTTCCTTCCCAGAGGCTCCACAAGTGTCCCGGACTATCCCTACATGGTCCAGTCCCCGGACCAATACCAGGAATCCTGGATGCCTAGTCAATGGGGTACCTGCCTTCAGATATCCAGGACTTACACGCTTGGAAAAGGGACCATCCCAGGGGAAACCCAAGACCAGAAAGAGCCCAGGAGTAGGGCTCGAGCTCGGGCTCTGAAGGCAGTCCCCACCCCTTCCCAGCAAAGACTGTGGTTCTCTGGAAAACTGAGGCCAGATGGCAGCCGGTGGGTAGGGGGCGCGGGCACTGGGTCCCGAAGCCCCACCCGAAGGCCCAAAGATGCCTGAGGTGGGGGTGGGAGAGAAACCAGGAATGTGCGAGGCCAGGGGGCACTCTGGGCATTTTGTGCAAAGTTCAAACGACGCTGTCTCTGCCCTCCGCCCCCATCCCCTAGGTCTCAGGAAATTTCTTGAGGCTCTAAACCTTGCCTCCCTCCTGGGGTAGAAACTGGACCTAGTCTCCAGTGGAATCTCCCCCAGGAGATTATGCCCAGGGTGGTCTTCTTGGGCCTGTTCGAAGTGACAGTTTCATCTTCCTGATACTTAGGATCCGTCGACATGAATCCCGTCATCGTGGTCCATGGTGGCGGAGCCAGCAGTATCTCTAAGGACAGGAAAGAGCGGGTGCGCCAGGGCATCATCAAAGCTGCTGAGGCAGGTTACAAAATCCTGACGGGTGGAGGGAGTGCAGTTGATGCTGTGGAAGTTGCTGTGGCATTCCTGGAAGATCATCCTGAGTTCAACGCAGGTATATTTGCAGTGCAATTAGTAACTGATGCCAAATCAGGTTAAGCTTATCCCCCTACACAAACAGAATCTAAAGTGCCAATGAATCTGGTAAGCTTTTCAGTAAAATTTAATATGTTAAAAAGATTTAATTTTTCTTTTTACCTGTTGACCGGGTTACTTTAAGAATTTTTAAATCCATCAATTCACCTTTTTTTCTTTAACTTGCTTCCGAGAATTCACATACCGAGAGGCTTTTTTATTACATCTTTTTGTGCGGGTAGACTATATACTATAAAGTGCACCCATTTTAAGTTTTGAAAAATATACACACCTGTGTAACCACACCACAAGATTTAAAACATTTCCATCGGGCGCCTGGGTGGCTCAGCCAGTTGTCTGCCTTCAGCTCAGGTCATGATCCCAGGGTGCTGGGATCGAGCCCCACATGGGGCTCCCAGCTCAGCGGGGAGCCAATGCTTCTGCTTCTCCCTCTTCCTCTGCCTGCCTCTCCCCCTACCTGTGCTCTCTCTCTCTGTCAAATAAATAAATAAAATCCTTTTTAAAAAAACAAAATTAAAACATTTCCATCATACCCAGAAATTCCTTCATGCCGCTTTGCATTTTAATCCACCCTCATCCTCACTACCAGGTATCCACTGCTCTTCTTCTGTCGTTATGGATTAATTTGCGTTCTCCAGAATTCCATATAAATGAAATCATGCGGAGTGTATTCTTTTGTGTTTGGCTTCTTCCTCTCAATTGATCCCTTTTTAGAGTAATTATCATTGTAACTACTATGATTATCTACTATGTATCAAGCAATGGTCTGAGAAATTTGCATGATTAACTCATTTAATCTGCATTATGAGTTAGGTATAATTCTTATACTCATTGATTTTAAAATAGAGAACCGAGAATCTGGGGATTAAAATACTTCTTGGGATGATACCACCCACCTAACATCTGTCAGAGAAAAGAGTTTCAGGAAATCTGAACCAATTAGTCATGAAATACTGAGTATTTGTTCCAGCCCCTTGCTTCTGCTAAGCACTCTTTAACACTTATGCAAAATTTCATAAGTCAGGCTGACCATAGAATGAGGCCTAAGTGCATTGTTATGGCTGTTGGTTGAGCCAGAATTTAGCAGATGCTCCCCCTTGCCAGCAGAAGGAGTGGCCTGCTGTTTCAGTGGGAGACTTGTTCAATTACACGCCACTAGTAGTTTTGACCCTCTGGCTGACAAACACTGTCTTATTCACAAAGGACCTTGATTTGGAACAGGTCTTCTGGTCCCCCACCCTCTCTAAGCTACTGGGATCAGTCATCTGCCTGAACTGGGGAGTATGGATTCAGAACTGGAGTGGCTAGTTCTCGTCTTTGCTCTATACCAGAGCCTGGTAGAGTGACTCACTTCTTTTTTTTTTTTTTAAAGATTTTATTTATTTATTTGACAGAGAGAGACACAGCGAGAGAGGGAACACAAGCAGGGGGAGTGGGAGAGGGAGAAGCAGGCTCGCCGCAGAGCAGGGAGCCCGATGCGGGACTCGATCCCAGGATCCTGGGATCATGACCTGAGCCGAAGGCAGTCGCCCAACCAACTGAGCCACCCAGGCACCCGAGTGACTCACTTCTAAGTGACTCGCTTCTACTGTGCCAGGCGTCTGCTCTGCAGCACATTGAGGGAGAAGAGTAGAATCACACAATCTGTAGCTTTTCGAGTCTGCATTCTTCATTTACCGTAATGCATTGGAGGGCCGTCCATGTCGACACAACTATTAATAGTCCGTCCATTTCTACTGTTAAGTAGCATTCCATTGTATGAATATACTACGTCTTGGTCATTTACCAACCAAAGGACATGGCCAATTTGGGGCCATTACAAATCACTGTTAACAATTGCATACAGGTTTTTGTGTGAACATAAGTTTTTCTTTCTCTTGGGTGAATACCAAGGTGTGGGATTGCTGGTCATAGGGCAAGCATATATTTAACTTTACTTGAAACTGCCAAACTGTTTTCCACAGTGACTCCCACTTTCCCTTCCCACCAGCAGTGTATGAAGGTTCTAGTCACTCCACATCCTCACCAGCACTTGGTGTTGTCAGTATTTTGTATTTTAGCCATTCTAACAGGTGTGTGGTGGGATCTCATTCTAGTGTTAATTTGCTTTTCCCTAGCAGCAAATGTTTATTTTAATATCTTTTCAAGTATTTTGTCAATTTCTGTATTGTGTTTTTTATTATTATTACTGAGTTTTAAGAATTCTTCATATATTCTAGATGTTGGTCTTTTATCAGATATGTGATTTGCAAATATTTTCTTTTGGTCTGTAGCTTGTCTTTTCTTTCTCTTAACAGTGTCTTTCAAAGAACAAAAGTTCTTAATTTTGTAGGAATCCACAATTTTTTACTGCTTTTAGTGTCACAGCTTAAGAACTATCTGCCTAGGCTGGGGCATCTGGTGGCTCAGTCGGTTAAGCGTCTGCCTTCGGCTCAGGTCATGATCCCAGCATCTGGGATCGAGCCCCGCATCGGGCTCCCTGCTCGGCAGGAAGCCTGCTTCTCCCTCTCCCACTCCCCCTGCTGTGTTCCCTCTCTCACTGTGTCTCTCTCTGCCAAATAAACAAATAAAATCTTAAAAAAAAAAAAAAAATCAGGTAGTAAGAGTCTTGCAGCTCTTTGTGTGCATGTTTGTGTAACTGTTTTGGCTGTCTTAGTCCCCTTTGTCCTTCCCACCAATTTGAGAATCACCTTGTCAATTTCTACCAAAAAAATCCTGCTAGAATTTTGATTAGGACTGTATTAACTCTATAGAGCAGTTTGGTGAACTGAAATCTGAGCAGTACTGAGCCTTTCCATCCAATACTTCCATTTGTTTAAATCTTTGATTTCTCTCATCAGTGTTTTGTAGTTTTTAGCATGCACTATCTTATACATATTTTGTTAGATGTATACTTAATTATTTCATGTCTTTTGATGCTATTGTAAATGTTACTTATTACGATTAGAGTTACGAACCTTTGTTGCTGATATAAAAATACAATTTATCTTTTTCATACTTGCCATCTGTAGGTCTTCTTTGGTAAGATGTCTGTTCGGGTCTTTGTCTCATTTTTTTCTTGTTGTTGTTGTTTTTTCTTTCTTTGTCTCATTTTTTAATCAGATTGTTTGTTTTCTTATTGTTGAGTTTTAAAAGTTCTTTGTATATTTTGAATAGCAGTCCTCTATCAGATGTGTCTTTTATGAATACATTTTCCCAGTCTGTGGCTTATCTTCTCATTCTCTTGACAGTGTCTTTCATATGGCAGAAATTTTTTGTTTTAATGACGTCCAGCATAACAATTTTTTCTTTCATGCAGCATGCCTTTGGTGTGGTATCTAAAAAGCCAATCCCAAGGTCATCTGGATTTTCTTCTATGTTATCTTCTAGGAGTTTTATAGTTTTGTGTTTTACATTTAGGTGTGTGATCCATTTTGAGTTAATTCTATGAAGGGTGTATGGTCTGTGTCTAGATTTGGGTTTTTTTGCATATGGATGTCCAGTTGTTTGAGCACTGTTTGTTGTAAAGACTTATCTTTGTTCCACTGGATTGCCTTTGTCTGAAGATTCTGAACCCAGTTCCAGTGCGTGTGTAGATTTTCCCACACCAAGCACTTTTCCTACACCAGCTGGTGTAGGAATTTAGCATCATTTAGCTACAATTTAGCTCATTTCTGACACTGTCTACATGGAGGTATCATCAGATTCCACAGGTGAGGGCGCCTGGGTGGCTCGGTCGCTTAAGCATCTGCCTTCAGCTCAGGTCATGATCCCAGGGTCCAGGGACCAAGTCCCGCATCAGGGTTCCTGCTCGGCAGGGAGTCTCCTTCTCCCTCTACCCCTCCCCTCTGCTTATGCGTGTGTGCGCTCTCTCTCTTTTTCTCTCTCTCAAATAAATAAATAAAATCTTAAAGAAAAAAAAAAAGACGCCACAGGTGAAGGGCTCAGTCCCACGAGACTACCCTCCACTTCAGATGCCAACTGTAAATCCAGGTTGTTACTTGTGCTTCTGACCTATTAATTAATTAATTAATTAAATCTTTTTTTAAAAAATATGTTGAATTTATAGTGGCACCTGGGTGGTACAGTTGGTTGAGCATCTGACTCTTGGTTTTGGCTCAGGTCTGATCTCAGGGTCCTGAGATCAAGCCCTTCTTCGGGCTCCATGCTCACCACAGAATCTGCTTGTGTTTCTCTCTTCTTCTCCAGCTCTGCCGCTCTCCCCTTGCTTGTGCTCTCTCACACACGTGAGATCTCTCTCTAAAATAAAATAAATCTTTTTTTAAGATTTTATTTATTGATTTGAGAGTGTGCACAAGAGAGCAAGCACAAGCAGGGGGAGCAGCAGAGGGAGAGGGAGAAGCATACTCCCCACACAGCAGGGAGCCTGACGTGGGGCTCAATCCCAGGACCCTGAGATCATGACCTGAGCCAAAGGCAGCCACTTAACCGACTGAGCCACCCAGGCGCCCCTAAGATAAATCTTTAAAAAAAAAAAAAAGATGTTGAATTTATTGGTTTAAGAGTTATTTATAATATACTTTATTTAATTTTTTTAATGTCTATAAGGTCTGTAGAGCGGTCCCATCTTTCATTCTTGATATTTGAATTTCTGTCTTTTTTTCTTGGTTGTCTAGCTAGAGTTTATCAAGTTTGGTTTGGGGGGAATTTTTTTGGGTTTTTTTGTGTGGGGGGGGGTTTTCAAAGAACAGTAACTTTTGGTTTTAGGAGGGTTTTGTGGATTTTTTTTATTGTTTTTTCTTTTACTGTTTTTCTCTTCTGAATTTCATTGATATATCTGTATTATTTCCTTTCTTCAACTTACTTTAGGAATAATTTACTATTATTTTTAGATCATTAATTTGAGACCTGTCTTTCCTAATACACGCATTTAGTACTTTAAATTTTCCTCTAAGCCCTGCTTTGATTGCGTCCTACAAGTTTTCACATGTTGTCTTCTCATTTTCATTCTGTTCAAAACATGTTATAATTTCATTTGTGACTTCCTTATTGAACCATGGATTATTTAGAAGTGTGATAATTTCCAAATATGTATGGATTTGCCAAATATCTCTCTGACTTTTATTTTAATTCTGTTACAATCAAAGGATATACTGTGTGATTTACATTCTTTTGAACTTTGTAAGGTTTGGGTTTTGGCCCAGAATATGGTCTCTCTTGGTAAATATCCAATTTGTATTTAAAAAGAATATGTACTCTGCTATTGTTGTATGGAAAGTTCTATAAATCTCAATAAGGTTGGGGCGCCTGGGTGGCTCAGTCGTTAAGCATCTGCCTTCAGCTCAGGTCATGATCCCACAGTCCTGGGATCGAGCCCCGCAACGGGCTCCCTGCTCAGCGGGAAGCCTGCTTCTCCCTCTCCCACTCCCTCTGCTTGTGTTCCCTCTTTCACTGTGCCTCTCTCTGTCAAATAAATAAAATCTTAAAAAAAAATAAAAAAATAAATCTCAATAAGGTCAAGTTAGTAGATAATGTTGTTCAGATCTTCTATACCTTCATTTTCTGTCTATTTCTACTGATTAATGAGAGAGGAGTGTTGAAATCTTTAATTTTATTTGTGAATTTCTCTATTTCTCCTTTGACTTCTATCAGTTTTGCTTCATATATTTAGAAATTGTTGTTAGGTACATAGATTGCTGTCTTCTGTGTGAACTGACCCCTTTATCATTATGTAATGTCATTATTATTTAACGTTCCTTGTTCTGAAGTCTACTTTGCCCGATGTTAATATAGCTGCTCCTGCTTTCATTTAATTCATTTTAGCATGGTATAACTTTTCCATTCTTTTATTTTTAACCTGTTTGTATCTTTATATTTAAAGTGGATTTCTTTTAGGTAGCACATAGTTGTATCTTACCTTTTTATACAATCTGACCATCTCTGCTTTTTATTGGGGTGTTTACGCCATTTACATTTAATGTGATTATTGATATGGTCAGCTATAAGTCTGTCATCTTGCTATTTGTCTTCTATTTGTCCAATCCATTCATTGTTTCTTTTTTCCTCTTTTTCTGTCATCTTTTGGGATAATTGAGTGTTGTTTATGATTCCGTCTTACCTCTTTTGTTGGCCTAGTAGCTAGACTACTTCTTTTTAAAGGTTATTTTAGAGTTTATAGTATATATCTCTCACTTGTCACAGTTTACCTTTAAGTAATATTGTACTCCATGAATAACCTCAGAACCTTGTAATGGTATACTTGTTTCCCCTTTCCTAGCCTTTGTGCTATTGCTGTCATGTATTTTACTTCTGTGTATGTTATAAATTACCCAATACATTGTTACTATTTTTCCCTTAAACAGTTATATATGTATATACATACACACATATACATACATATATTTTTTTGAGAGAGAGAGAGATTGAGTGTGAGGAGAGGGGCAAAGGGAGAGGGAGAGAGAGAATCTTTTTTTTTTTTTTTTAAGATTTATTTATTTATATGAGAGAGAGAGCAGGGGGAGGGGCAAAGGGAGAGGGAAAGGGAAAGAATCTCAAGCAGACCCTCCTGAGTATGGAGCCCTACGTGGGGTTTGAACTCACGACCCTGAGATCATGACCTGAGCCAAAATCAAGAGTTGGACTTTTAACCAACTGAACCAGCCAGTCTCCCCTAAATGGTTATATTTTAAAGATATTGTTAAAATAAAGGGAAAAGGTATTTCTGCTTATCCATATACTAACCATTTCCAGTGCTTTTCCTTCGTGTGGCTTATGACTGCGGTCCACTGTCCTTTTCATTCTTCCTGAGAGACTTCCTTTAACATTTCTTGTATTTCGCATCTGCTATTGGTGATTTCGTTCAGCTCTTGTGTATCTGAAAAAGGCTTTGTTTTCAGTGTTTGAAAGATACTTTCACTGTATATTGACCTCCAACTTGACAGGCTGTTTGTGTGTGTGTGTTTTGTTGTTGTTGTTTTTAACTTCAGGGCTTTAAAGACATTGCTCCACTGTCTTCTGGATTGTATCATTTCTGACAAGAAACATATTCTCATTGTTTCCTCTCTTCCTAATGCATATCTCTCTGGCTACTTTTAAGATTTTCTGTCTCATTAGCACCAAGCTGTTTGATCATGATGTCCTTGTATGTAATTTTCTTCATGTTTCTTTTGCTTGGAGTTTATTGAGCTTCTCAGATCTGTAAATTTGTAGTTTTAATCAAATGTGAAAATTTATTATCCATTTTTCCTTAAATATTTTGTTGTCCCTCTTGTCTCACCTCTCCTTTTAGAGATTCCAATTACACATAGATTGGGTTGCTTGAAATTGTCCCTGAGCTTAATGATCTCTTTTAATTTGGGGTTTTTTATCCTTTTTTATTTTTCATTTTGGATAGTTTCTATTGCTACATCTTCATGTTCATTAATCTTTTCTGCTGCACTGTCTAACCTTGTTTTATTTTCTGTATGTTTTCCACTTAAGACTTTTTTTTTTCCATCTCTAGAAGTTCTGTTTGGGTCCTTTTTATGTTTTCCTCCATGTTCTGGTACATATAGAATATAGTTATAACAGCTGTTTTATTAACATCCTTGTCTACTAATTCTGTCATTTATGATCTGTTACTATTGAGGGAGGTTTTTTCCCTCCTTGTTACGGGTCATGTTTTCTTGTTTCTTTGTGTGCCTGGAAGTTTCCTATTAGATACCAAACACTGTGAATTTTACCTTGTTAGGTACTGGACAGTTTTATAATCCTTTAAATATTCTCAAGCTTTGTTCCTATCCCATTTTACAGATGAGGAAACAGGCCCAAAGAGGTAAAGCATAGCTAGCCTTACAGGCATTAGCTAGGCAAAAGAAGTTGGAGGAAGGGTGGTGGTGGTAAAGAGGGCAGCATGCACAAGGGGACAGAGCGATGGGAACTTATCGTACTTTCATGGAAACCTAGTATTTCAGTAAGATGCAACCAAGGAGGAGGCGGGGAGGATACAGCTGGTAAAGGAGATCAGAAGCCAGATCGGGAAGTGTTCCATACTTTTTATTTTGTAGGTCATGGGATGCCAAGCCAGATGTGGGTTTCCAAACATGTTTCTCTGGCAGTGGAGTAGAGGATGAATTAAAGTCGGCAGCTTAGAGGAAACTTGGGAGCCATCTCGAAGTTCTTAATTCTTGCTTTTCAACTTCTCTTTGGCTTTAGGTTGTGGATCTGTCTTGAATGTAAATGGTGATGTTGAAATGGATGCCAGTATCATGAATGGAAAAGACCTGTCTGCAGGAGCTGTGTCTGCAGTCCGCTGTATAGCAAATCCCATTAAACTTGCACGGCTTGTTATGGAAAAGGTATGTGACAAAAGCATCCTTTTTGTAAGAAATTGTTACCACTGTACTCTAGCAACTAAAAGTGGTCTAACTGTAGGGAAATACTTGTGAGCACTGTTCTCCTAAAACCCTATAAAAGAACAGAAGCAATGCTACTTAAATTTCTTAAATAAGCCGAGACTCTGACTCTGTTGACAGTGGAATTTGACTAGTAATCCCTTGTCCAGTGATTACTTTGTTTTCATCTTGTCTTCTTGTATTTTCTTCAGTCTTCTCTCAACATGGATGACAAAACAGATACAAATTGAACAGACCAACTGTTTAATAGCATGTGTAAAATAAAGATGAATTATGTTCTCTAAACTTAAGATCAGGGCGCCTGGGTGGCTCAGTCGTTGGGCGTCTGCCTTCGGCTCAGGTCATGATCCCAGGGTCCTGGGATCGAGTCCCACATCGGGCTCCCTGCTCTGCAGGAGGCCTCCTTCTCCCTC